TGTTTTAACTTAATTTTAATTTTTAACTCGTTAATGTCCAACTTTGAAAATAAGTATATAAGTTAATAAAAATGTTAGCCAGATGAGACTAGCTTTGTTTGTGTAATAACTCAAACCAACGATACTCTGTCCAGCATGAGAACAGGTTCTATATATACACCTTCACACAACACTCCGGCATAGTGGAACTAGCTTCAACGGATGAGTGTCAGAAGAATTTAATTTTTTTAGGACACTGCATGTTCTTGTGCATGGGCAGGGTATAGTGAATGATTACCGATAACAAGGGCCAGGATTTCAATGCAGTGCATATTTTTTTGGTTGATCTTAGACAATGCTTTCCAAGTACATAATTTGTTTGGTGTAACGAGTGTTTCATAACAAACATTTTTTTTTGCATATTTTGAAGTGTTTTCTTTTTTTGAGCATTTTTAGAATAAATGGGCCATTTTGGGTTTTTAATGCAAATAAGGTCAATATACTAAACAAATTTAGTCTATTTTAATTTTACATAAATCTTAATGTATATTTTGGTATGTTTAGAACGAATAATATTGCCCCAAACATATGCGTGTCAACATCATAGCGACATTAATTCAATTCTTAAAATTTTCAGTTTTTTTTTTTTTTTTCAATAAAATAAATAGTAATTATGTTTTATTTATAAATTCCAAATTAAAATATCAAATTGTATAAAAAAATATATATATTTTTAAGATCATTTTTGTGGTAAAATGTATTTTTTAAGGGCATTTTTGGCTGTTTTTTAGAGCATATTTGTATTGAAGTGCATTTAAATCTGAGCCCTACTGATAACAATAAAAATAAGCAATAGATATTGAGGTATTAGCCACAGACTATAAAAACAAAAATAGACATAATGGTCAGTCCACAAACAATACAGCTCAGTGCTAGCATAATCATCCTGTAGTGTAAAGGTGTAACCATCTATAACTTGTGAGTCTAATCATATTAATATAATAAACAACACATACAATTGATTTTTATTCATAAATATCAAGATAATTAATTTATCAAGTGCTTAGTGCATTATACATGCATTTCATTTAACTTCAATAACTCATAAAATATTAACTATTTGGACAAATTAGGTGAAACTAGAAAAAATCTCATATAGTCTGTAAATGCTAACATCTACTTATTAGTTATTAAAGTATTATACATCAATTGTCTGAAAGTTATTGTTGGTCATAAAATACTATAATAATTTAAAATAATAATATACAGGATGAAACACTAAGCATATTTGCCCTCATTTTTTCTTTAAAGTGGATTTTTAAATATATTTTAAACAATTTTTTCAAATTCTTGAATTCTTTTGAAAAATTAGATGTACCTAGTTCTAGATTCGAATGAGTAATTGCTTACTAATTCAAATGTTTGTATTCAGGATAAAATTTCTTAAAAATAATTTTACAAAAATATAAAATATACTTAGTATTGGAACTAGTATTTATTAAACTTTAGCTATTTTTAAAAATTATTAATGTTGTTAGATTAAAATTAATCACTAAAATCTTACAAATCACCACAGCCCACATTTATCATAAACACATTACCATCAACATTTATATCCTTAGAATAAGTTGAAACTACTTGTACACATTTAATCCTAATACATCAAATTTATCTAAAAAACTAACCGCTTAACAATTTGAAATTGAAAAGGTGGATTATAATATGAATAACAACATAGGTATATGTCTCTACAGCAGTAGTTCTCAACCGGGGTGACATGGACCTAGCTTAGGGGTGACGCAGAATTTTAACAAGAAAAGAAAAAAAATTTAAAAAATTAATTTTTCCGAAAACAGTCATATAATTTCTTATAATAAATATATTATACATCTATACCACCACTGTCATGTACATAACATACCTCAAAGTTCGTATCTTTATAATAGTTTGTATTATTTATATTTAATCTTTTGGTCCGATAAACACGTGTACCTAGTAATAAATATACAGCTAAGATTGTTTATTATTTTGATGTTAGTGTGACGCAGTGTTTGATTCTAGTGGCTAAAGAGTAAAGGTGACATGAATCAAAAAAGGTTGAGAACTACTGCTCTACAGAATACTCCTGAAGTAGTATACAAAATTCCAAAAATCGTATTTTAAATAACTGCATTATTGAAGGAAAAGGGAGATGCTTAGTAATTCACTCTGTATGTAATTATATTTTATGAAACTATTTATGATGACAAATTAGATAGGTATCAACAGTTTTTTGATACGCATTTTCCGCTCTTTACTTTACCTATATCATATTTCTCCACTTTTCATTGGCTGTCAATCATCTACATAYATATATAACATGGAATAAAATCAACCAATGAGAAGTGGAGAACTACAGCATCGGCCGGAGGAGATGCGCAAACCTAGCGAGCAAAACTAGTAATACAATACTGTGATGATACCTATCTAATTTGTCATACTATTTACTTACCCGTTTTGAAAAATAGTCAATAGGCTAAAAATATTATAAAATAATGCTACACATACTAATTAAAAACACAACATTTTAAAATAGAAGTTTTTGATTTAAGGATAGTAATCAATAGAAATAAAATATTATTTCTCATGTGTTAGTACAATGTACCAAGTTAGATCAAACTGTATTTATCATTTTATATTTAAAATAATAGTTTAAAAAGATAAGGATTCATAGGTACTTGTTAGTTTTATTTTTAATCACAACAATTTATAAATTAGGTATCTATTTCAAATAAAAAACATTTGAAAAATAAACGTTTTAAAAAAAGTATATTTGACAATTATAAAGTTTAATAGGTAAAAGTTTAATTAAATTGAGATTAAATATAAATTGATTACTATGATAGGTAAACTCAAGAATAGACTTTAAAACTATGATGATGCATATTTTAGATATTTTAAAATTATGTGGTATAAAAATACACTACTAATAATATTATCATATATTTTATAAGAAATATTAGTTTAATAGTTTAGATAAAAAATACTCTAAGAATAGTTATTTTTAGCATATTTAATTGAAGAATATTTTATCCACCTTATAATTCAACTGTAGTTGGATATTTACAAATTGAAATGCAATTAAAAATATTAAATATATCTCTGGACCCTGATAAATAAATATTTATAACTTACCAATGTGGAACTATGAGAGAGTGATAAAGGATAAATGACAGGATTAATTTTGGCCGCTTCCATAACATCCAAAACAGCAAAATATTTGTTACTCACTGAAGAAACACACAAAAAAAAAACTTATCACACAACAAATACTGATATATTAGTTAAGTAAAATTAATATTGTTAGTCAATATAATTTTTTTAAAGTAATAATATACTGGAGAGTAGTAACAAGTTCAAACAAAAGTGACTATATGTTTATTTATAACAGATTAAAAAGCATTTTCATTTAAAAACTATTATAAGCGTGTGGGTATAAAATTGTGTAGGCGATAACCACACCAACTGCTCTAGAATATTCATCAATGAGGAATGCTAGATTTTTATGTGCCAAATAAACTATAACCCAATTAAAATATGTCCTTAATTGAATAAAATAAATATTTGATTAGCTTAAAATTAACTAATGTTACCTATAAAAATTACAAAACTAATAGAAAATCATCATGCCATATTATACAAAATCTTTGCAAAAATATAGGTATATTTAATCATTGACAAATACTAAGTTTTATTAATATAATTATACATGAATAAGTTAAAAAAATTAGAAGGGGTACTATTGGCACTAATCTTGGACAGTTTTGGTATTACAATTATATCATATTATAGTATTATGATACTTAGAATACCATTTTTTTTCCTTACACATTGTTGAATGTACACATGGAAAAATACAAAACAGCTTGTATTTTTCCATATCACTGTAGACAAATATAGCATAGAAATTTAAAATATAGATTAACATTCTTGTCTCACACTTCTGAATTAAAGTTTGTTAACAAACTTCACTTAAAATTGTAGGAGTACCCTTTAAATGAGTATTGTGATGTAAAAAAGTTTAAATAATTTTCTTTACCTAATAGATATTTAAATAATTTTTGTTTCTATTCTATAAAAGTATAGTAGGCTATAAGCCTACTTTTAACCTACTTTAAACTAGATAAAAACAATTTTCAAAAGCTATAACATTTTACCAAAGGTTAGTGCGAGAAGTTAAATTTATAACCAAATAAAAAACACAAAGTAAAAGAACAAATTATGATAACATACGTGGATTGAGAAGTTTAACTTATATGAAAAATGATTGCTGCTTAAAAATTTGTTTTTTGTTAATTTAACTATACCCGACAATTAAATATAACACCTATATGTTAGGTACAAGAATTTATTGATCAAGACAATTCTTGGAATCATACTAGAAGTAGATAATAGAATAACTGCTTACACAATTACAATCTTATAAAATAGAAAATAAAATGAAATTGTGACAAAGGAAAAGAAAAATAGTTAATACTGTAAATTGCATTTAACTTAGCTAATAGTTGTTAAGTTATAATCATTTATAAAAGTTAAAACTGTATATTAAACTGTTAACATACCTAGGCATCAAAGTAATTTCTAACAATTAAAAATACTATATTTCATGCCTAGTTAAGCATAATATGAACATAGTAATTAAAATACTCAGAATAAATAAAAATGAATACATGTATAGAAGATAATACCTAGATAGATACTAATAACCCTTAATAACCAATATGAATAATTAAAAATAAAAAGATTTTTCAAGAATAAAATTATATTATGAAGGTAATGTACTAATTGTATAATCGATTAATTTACATCATACTTAAAAACTTTTCTGACAATAGATACATTAATAGTATTGTGTACCCACTTTACTCAATCAGCATTCCCTCTACACAATTAAAGTTAAATTAAACAAAATAAGCCAGCAAACAAACCATATTAACACTAGAACACCAAGATAATTACAATGCATGTGAATAATAACGTACCCTTTGAGGAGAAGTCCTAGAGTCAGATTTGTCGAAAAACATGCTATTCTCGCCGGTGTTGCCGAACTTTCGGTTGATCTCTTCCAGTATTTCGTCCGTTGACTTGCCGCGAAGACGATCGCTCAACTTTGATTTGTTACGATCCCGACGATCAGCAAAAGGCATATTACTCTTTACACCACATCGATCGTCTCTGGCGCAATTTACGAGGAAATGGTAACAAACGTCCACGAAAAGTTAATTGAAATGACGGTGGACGGGAAATCCGTGTAGAAGATCGGCCGAAAAGGTCGATTACAAGGTAATGTTTTAACAGCGATGAAAATAACAACGTCAGGAGGGTCAGCAAATTATATTAGTAATGAAAATTATGATAAATAGCGATGACCGCGAGACAAAAACTAATCTGACGCGACCGTCAGACCAGCTGCAAATAAAACATAAAACACTACAGCACACGAAGGAAAACAATCAGCGAACGGTGTAACAGACATTACAAATTACAGTAGATAGGTATACTATACTGATACGACGGACAAATCTAGAAGATTCGAGTAAATCCGGTCGGTCCGTGATGATTGGGTAATGGGTAAGGGGTAACGTTAAAACGGCAAAGCGTACATCCGATGCAGTCTGTTACCCCCGCCAACGAAAACAGCGAACCAATGGATGGAAATGTAGAATTGTATGATAAGTGATAACAGATATTGATAAATTTAATTTTTTTTTTTTATATTATTTTTGTTGTATAAATGTCACGTAATAAAGATTATTTTAGCTGGGGCTGGCTATAAAGTATAAATTATAACGCACTTTACCAACCCCCCTCTTGATTTTCAAATTTTATTTGTAGACGATTTGTTTCCTTATGCTTAATTATGGTTACCATACGTCCCGATACACCGGCACATATCACCTGCAGTTCATGACTTCGGTTCCGGTGACCCGGTCGTCCCACTAGACCCTACAAAAGTCCCGGTTATGTGTAAATAATATTAGTACCAATAATAATATTAAATTATATTTTTATAAAAACCTAACCTAACCAAACACTTTCAGAACGCGTCGAAGCTAACAGTTTGGGAATCAAAACTAAAATTGAATATAATAAAATAAAAGACGATGCTCAGCTTTTTGTTTCGATAAAATTATTCGACGAAGAAGTCGATAATTATTACAAAACGGCACGGGAGTATTAACAACAGTGGAGTAACCCTCTTATAAAATTTGAGGTCTTTTCGTGGATGGATCTTACTTCTTCGCTGCAATGGCAAGACGTTGAAAAGACAATAACTTATTTAAAAAGCTTCATTGACAAACAGAAATTTGATGAAGATTGGAATAAAAAAAATATGCATGACAAATGGTTATTTCAATAATTTAAATTTAAATTCTTTCATAATTCAATACTATTATTATTTTATTCTATATATATTCATTACGCACTGTGTTCTAAATTTTAATATAAAAAAAAAAAGGTTGTTCAAATTATTTTTGTAAATGTCCCGGCCAGTATTTGAACTTTTATGGCAACCCCCCATGCTTAAATCTATGGTGTAAGCATTTTTTACCGAAAACTATATTATTTTAGAAGTTATAACCTTCCAAAGTTTGCGATTAAACTACAGTTTCTAAAATAATAGTTTCCAGCAAAAAATTTTCGCACGATAGTTTTAAGCACGAAAACAAAAAATTGAAAAACGTGAGGGAATATTGGTAAAGTGCATTTGTGCACAGATTTAACGTAATTGTAATAATGAATAATGATTAATTGAAATATCTATTAACCTAACAACTAATAATTAATATAAGTCAAAGAGAATATCCCGGCGATAGTCATGACTCATGACATCACGTAATTAGAAGAATTTACTCTCGTGTTTCCATATATTCCTTACACGAACTAAAATATTATAATATTATTCTGTCTATATTCTATAATTTTATATAGATAATATATATATAATATTACCAGTAGCGTACGCAAGATTTTAGTTCGGTTAGGGTTTTTAGTATTTTACATGAGTAAATAATAATAAACAATATAAATAATTCGCTTAACGCTGCAGTGTAATACTACGTCACATCAACAACAGTTTTTGTATAATTAGTTATAAGTGTTATAACAAATTATAGTCAATAATAAATTAACAATTTAATTTATATCTTTTAAAAATTACCAACAATTTATCGACTATAATATGTATTGAAATGGTGATAAATACCTAAGATTTTTTGTAAAATAAAAAAATTTCAAAGGGGCAGAACCCTATAGAAGCCTACTCCTGCATACGTCACTTTTACGACGTTATAGGTACCATTTATTATATTGTACATTCAAATAATCCGTAATTCTTTAGACCATATTATACTACATAGTACATTACCTACTACACATTTATTATATTATAATATGTTTAGGCTATACTTTTATTATAACCACTGGTTGTAACTAGATCTCGCGAATCATGAATTCATTACGAAGGATCTTTAAAATATTAGGTATGTGATATATATTATGATTTATGGCTCTCTTATCTCTGCGTAGGTCCATGTGTAGGACGTAAGCGTATATAATAGGTTAGGTTAAAATAGTTCAATTAGTAATACATACCTACTGTTTACCATCATGGTTTAAAGAATACTTTAGGAATTTAGGATATAATAGCTGTATAGTATCATATATGTTATATTCTGTGATCATATCTTAAATCAGAATTGCCATAAGGAAAAGGAACATAAATTATAACACAATAAAATTATGGTAAAACTTTATGGCACTTAAATATTCTAAATCATTACGACTATCCGATCGAAGAAAAATATGAAACGTAGGTATTACAGCGAAAATGCTAAATTTCTGAATACTGTAATAATTGATTTTTTTTTATCATATACCTATCAGGAAATTTACAATCTGTACCTACATTTTACAATAATATTAAATACCTCCCGAAATAGGTTAGGAACGATATTTTTCTTGTCTTCGAAGATTGAAAACATATCTGCGCAACAAGACTGGTGAGGAGCAATTAAATGGATTGATGCTATTATAAACTTACGCTGAGACGTGGAAGTCACTTGTGAAGAGGTCATTGATATAATGGCAAAAAAACCAAAACGTATAGATCTTGTTTTATAATTTAAATTGAACTGACAAATTTGATATAAGTATGAATAATATGATATTTATGAATACCTACTTTAAATATTTCAAAACACCCCCCGAAATTTTTTCCTGCGTTCGCCCCTGAGTCAATTATAATAATTGAATTATTGATATTTATATATTTATATCAATTATTATGTAATTATAGTTTCAACGGTATGGCAACTCGTAGGTACCTATAACCGCTATCGCCAGAACCAAATACTGGCCAAGTGGCAATTTGAAAATAATAAACAATGTTTTGGAAATAAAGTGACATATTAAATAGATTGTGAAATAATTGATCGTTTAAACAAATGATCACTACCTTTTGATCTAAAATGTTTTTTTCGAAGTCAACTTCTCTCCGACGATATTATATTTTATTGAATTATACCTTTATTTCTATTTGCTTATTTTGTTTCAATGTATTTTTAATGAAAGAATTTTTTTCGTCGAACGTTCCATTATAGGTTCCATGGAAAAGGGGAGTCAAAGTTTTACGTTGCACTTAGGGTTGCCATCTCATCTTTGGGTTTCACTCGGATAATCCGGACTACGAGTTCAGTGTATTATTTTTCGGTTGTCGTAAAACTACAGTTTAGTATTTTTTTTTTCAGTTTGAACCTTTGAACCGACGACGCTGCAAGATTTACTTTCGAATTCTTCCCCGGCGCAAATAGTTAGGTACTTATAGAATATAGTTTGTCATTAAGCAACAATAAAAATGATTTTCATACGTCAAAAGATACGATGCAATAAAATCTGTGAGCCTGTTAGTCTTAAAAAATATTGAAGAAGACCGACTTTACTACGAAGTACAAAAATTCAGGAAGTGTGGGCAGAGCTTTCAAAAATGAACTTAACTTCAGACTTAATGCGGTTAGAGTTGTTTAAAAAAAAGCCATTTTATTAACCTTCCAAAAATTATTGGTAAGATATTTTCAATTCCAGACATTCCAGTAAGTAACGCTTTTATTTAATGGGAAATTTGTCGTTAGATGAAAAAAAATAATCTGTCAGTAGAAAAGATAATCAGAACTGTGTGTCAAATTAAATTATAACATGCATTTTCAAGATTTTTCGCACTTTTTGAAACATTGGTACTTATCATCGCATTAGGTAAAAAACACTGGCGAAGTGCATTGAGATTGAGGTGAAACATAAAAAGTCTACTTAGTGCGGTGTGATGAAAACCCTATAAGCACTTAGCAGTTTAGCACAGAACAACTTACTATAAAAAGACTGTGGTTGCTACAGATAAATTGATAACAATTAACTAATTTGATAACTGATAAGTTTTAACATGGACAGTGGACACACAATTTTATCTATTTACGTTTTACAAATTTACTTTCCGTTTTCATTTTCATTTTTCCTTACTAAATATAAATTTAAGTAGGTATAATGTAGATGTAATAGCATTATAATTGATAATTTACAAATTTGACTTAGTCACAGACAATGTGGATGTTATTAAGTAAAAACTATCTAGATTTTATACAAAATTCACAATAATGAAAAAGTTGTAGTTCAATAAAAGCAATGGCTACCGAAGGGCTTCCAGGATTGTCAACTACTGAAGCTTTACGCACATTATATAATGAAATATTGTCGCTCAGAAATCGTATTAAAGATCAACACATACAACAGTACTTTACATTTTTTTTATTTAATGTCCTGTTTATTATTAGTAATATTGTAATAATAATACATTTTTAATAGAGGAAAAGACAGACTATGGATTCAAGATGCATTGAAACATAATAGTCCATTCACTAGTGTCTGTTGGATTACTGCTTTGATCATTTTTGCTTGTGGTTTTTCATTGATCATCATTAGTTTGGTGTTTGATGAAATGTGGTATCTGTTTGATGACGGAATATTGATCTTGATATTGTTAACAATGAATCTTGCTACTGTGTTATGGGATAACAAATTAAGACATGAAGAAATGTTTACCAAACTTGATCATGTGATGAAAAAACTGAATTGTAAGAAAATGTTAACATAGTTAAAATAGTTTATAAACATTATTTTATTTTATTTTATTCTTAACTTAAGGCTATAAAGATAAATGCCATTGGAAGAAAGAAAATTATCCACATTTATGTATGCCATTTTCTCCATCGGTTACTTTACAATGGACTCAACGTGATGGTGTGCTAGTTAATTTACCTTGGGCATTATTGGTAAAAGGTGATGTAGTACTTTTGAAACCAGGACAAACATCTCCATGCCATGTCTCCAGGCTTAGGGTTAGTGATCTATAATATTCCTGTATAGAGTATAATGTTTTTAAATTATATCTATACTGTTACTTACAATTTAATATACATAATTTATAAATACTCTTGTTAACTTAAGTTCATAGATTTTAAAATTTAAAAACTTGAATGACCCATTTTAGAATTTTTGATTTAATATGA